TATATATATATATATATATATATATATATATATATATATATATATATATATATATATATATATATATATATATATATATATATATATATATATATATATATACATATATATATAGCAAAAAAGAATCACGCATACCAGGATAGAGAAAACCTGCATCTGGCTGCTCCATGCATTGAACAAACAATCTGTTGAGCTGATCAACAATTCCTGTCGATAATAAATATTTTGCAGTTGATGTTTTCCTGAAGGAAAAGGTCATTAAGTTAAACAGCTAAAAATAAGGTGGAAAAAAAGAACATAAACATGCTTTTTTGAATCCGAACATTTCTTTACGAGATCGAAGATTTGAGAAATTGAATCAGTCGTATGCTAACCTGTTCTTTTTTAATGAGATAGAAATACCAAAAGAAGTCGATACATCAACAAACTAAAACGGATGCACTCATCAAAATGATTTCTTACTACAAATTCAAGCATGTCATGAGACCATTTACAGTGGACCATTTAAACGGATAGTTTGGACACTTTGGATAAATAAAAAGACAAGGAATTTTTTTAGTTACAGGCAGTAAAATAAATAAAACAGAGCTGAAACTTTTTATCAACATAAATTTGTTTCCTATTAATAAGGAAAAAACTAACTGAGAAGCACCATCAGCAAACATTTCCACAGCATTGATTTGGATTAAAATATCAGTAGATCCAAGCTCTTCCGCTAATCGAGTGATCAAATCTCCGATTTTAGGCAAATCATTTCCTGCCTTCATCACCAAAGTTGTTACCTTAAAGATTTCTAAATGGAAAGCTATAGTAGAACTGCCATCTCGTTTTGTACTTGGTTTTCAACCAATCATGCTTTTAATGATATGAAATAGTGGCACAAAATTAAGTTCCAAAAACTATGGAGCTGTCTGTTATCATAACACGAATAGTGCATTTACAATATAGCGATCAAAGAAATATCACGATCAAAGAAGTGATTTTTATGCGAATTAGTGAACGTCACCTAAAACAGTTTTTCAACTTTTTCAATGTATGATATTTCAGTGTTGCGAAAAAACAAACCTGATGTACTCGAAACCGAACTTCAGCACGCTTTGAATTTAGTTGATTCAATAGCTCATCTTGCACCAGTTTCAGTGGAGCGAAGCGTGTCAACAGCTGAAAAATAAAATACTGTTGAAAAATACTGTCGTATAGTGGCCCATTAATAAAAGAACTGCTAATATGTTGGATTAAATTGATTGGTTCTCCGATTAATATCATAGGCCTCTTACATACAGATCCATGTAAAGTTGTCTTAAAAAAAAAAAATTCTGGCAAAATTTTAAGACGACTTTAATTAACTTGGAAACATAGTAATTCTAACAACACCAAAGTACCAGGTATAAAGTCGTTTAGGATGTCCTATTATAAGCCAAACTGTGCTTTGCCTAAACGAGTCATCAAACGCATTAACACCAAAATATCGAAACACAAACATATGTTGAAGAGCCATGAAATGCGCCTAAGCACCTCCAAAGTCTACTGTTCCCCCTTGTATTCTCTACTTGTATCAGTTATACGATAAATATTGAACGAAATTTTAGGAATTCTGAAAATTTTGACAAATCCTCATAAGTCCCTATAATCCTGATGTAAATGTTTTCATTTGGTATTTTCATAATCCAAACATGGAAAAACTTCAAGAAAATTCTTGCCAAATTTTTTTTCTGAAAAGAAAAGACGCAAACATACAACAGCTATCGATCCAGCACAATCGAAATCACAAACTCTTCGTGCAAATGCGATTGTTACAGCTATGTGTGAATTGGAAAGTATTTCATAGACTTCATCTATATGTCGTATGTAATAATCGACAAGCACGTCAACAACCCTTGGATGGCTATTGTTTATTCCATTCAAAACCAGGATTTGGTGTTTCTCAGTTATAGAAACTATGCCAACAGTATCAAGAATACAAATGATCAAGTCCTTCAAGTCCGGAAATGCATCCCTGAAAATACTTTCAATATTTTAAAATAGGCAAGACACTTTTTCTGCATACCCATAGTAAAGGATAAGAAACTTTGTTGAGTAACCATAACAATGAATGAAACATTTTACAGTTGTTTTGGTATATATTACAAAGAGTACCATTTTTTTCGTTAACTATAACATGCAAAGCATTACGAATATGTGCCTACAACAACACGCAAATACTTTGTATCTACTGTAATGATGTTCAACTCATTTTTTGATCAGCCATAATAGCAAGATATTCCGCAGTTTATTCATATCAATCAATAGTGTAAATTTTTATGGTCGCAAAGGGTTCATGAAATCCCATGCGCGAAAGTTAGTTTCGCAAACGTACCAGTCAATACGCTCCATATTATGAGAAAGCAACTTTTGGAGCATTTCGATAGCTTTCATTTCTGTACGTTCTGTTACCAAACGCTGTTTCATCTCGTAAAATGTGTCAACGTCATACGTTGTATCACTTGTCGATGACTCCTCAGTGGTTTCCGCGTTGTTATCTCGCATCTTGCCTGTAATTTATTTCCCCTATTCGACATTAATTCACGACAAATGGCAATTTTTTATCAGTGAGAAAGCTAGTAAGACCATCTAGGAAGCAATATTCAATATTGAGAACAACGATCTGGAAGTATCAATCGCAATCAAAAAAAACTATTCAGATTTCCGAAAAAGGATCAATTACGAAGAACAGGGAGAGAGAGAGAGAGGAAGAGAGAGAAGGAAAAAAAAGAAACAATACGAGGAGTAATACAGAAGAGGTAAAAGCATTTGACCCCTTTGCTCTAACTAAATACTATTCCAGAATAATTCTGGACATCCTTATGCATCCAAATCAAAGCCATTGTGGGAAAGTTTTAAAATCAAATTTGGACCTTCACTCGACCTTCCAATGTGCAAACAAAATATCAGCTTAAAAAATAAACTGAAACTAATCCATCACATACCTTTAACCATCATATCTTTCTACCTATATTATTCCTTTGATCTAATAATATCCTTCAATGTCTAACTTAAATGCACTCTAACAATATTATCAATCTTTGTTGTCTCTCCACCCTTCATACATCCTAATTCGATCTTTTTCCAACATTCCCATATTCAAATCAAATTCATCTTCTTGCGCGCATAAAACGGAACAGCAAACAAGCTAGCAATAAATAGTATCTCTGTGTTCCTTGTAAAGTCATACAATCTATCTTCTGCTCTCTCAATCACTGCTCATTAAAGTCTCAAATCCTATCAATCCCCGTACCCCTCCCCGACCAACATGCTATCTCCATTCGCCGCCCACGCCAGCAAACACGTCATCCACCGATCAAACCAGTCGTGAATCAAACCTTAGAGAAAGAAACCAGTTTCCCGCTATGAAATTCTTCAGTCGCGATATGAAATAGCAGACGTCTGAACCAAGTCATAAAATTTTTCAATTCAAGTTATATCTGGAACGAACTCATTATTATCTGGATAACAATTATAAAATTGAATTTCATATTTATGAAATAGATGACTGTAACGACATTGTGTGTATTGCAGCGTTGCAAATTGATTTTAAATTAGCTTATAAAAATTTGTTGACAACTACTTGATTAAAAATTGTATTTGAATCAGTGGATAACAGAAAGTTACAAAATGTAAAGAGGAAAGAAAATTATTTTCTTGAGGAATGGGACAACATACGACTTAATCTGAGGTAAAATTAAAAACGCAGTTTTAAAAAGTTTATCTTTGGTTAGGTGAAATAAGTGTTTTAATTTTTTGCAGAATGGTCATCAAAAATAAGTTTGGCAGTAAATTTTGGGAAATGGAAGTTAAAATTTAATTACATTCTTTTCTGGGAAATATGCATATATGTTTCTTACAATGAACATTTTTTCTTTTGACTTTTTTCAAATTAATTATTTGCAATCATTTCCAGTTTATTTTTTATTCTTTCTTTCTTATTTCTTGTTGCATTAGTATCATCCTTGGTTTAGCGTCACACTCAGGTAACTTTATCATTTGTCATTCAAAGAATTTTTTTGAAAATAAATTTATCCATTTTTTAAGCGAATGAAACTAAAAATGCAAATACAAATGTAAAAATTCAAATAATGTATCCGTCAAAACTTTTCTGTTTTTTAGTGGCCAAAATGAGGCAAATAGAAAATGTAAAAAAAAACTTTT